TTTTGGTTTTTCTCCGGTACCAGGAACTGAACTCACGACCTTGCGCTTGCCAGGCAGGCGCTTTTGCCGCTGAGCTAAATCCCCAGCCCCAGGTTTCCATTTCTGTTTTTTTTTGTTGTTGTTGTTTTTCTCCGGTACCGGGAACCGAACTCACGACTTTGCACTTGCCAGGCAGGCGCTTTTGCCGCTGAGCTAAATCCCCAGCCCCGTAAACGTACTCCTAAACCTTCTCCGTGCCGCTTCTTCCCGGGTTTGGTCTGTTTTGGTCTGTTTTCTGCAACAGTTCCAAGGCCAAAGGCGTCCTAACTTTAAAAAATTGAACTGTGTTGGAGAGCTATGCTTTTTCTTTCTTTCTTTCTTTCTTTCTTTCTTTCTTTCTTTCTTTCTTTCTTTCTTTCTCTTTTTTTTTCTTTTTTTTTTTTTGCAGTGCTAGGGCTCAAACCAAGGATTTCTTGCATACTAGGCAAGCATTCTACCATTGAGCTATATCCTCTGCCCTGAATTTTCTAAATTTTACTGCTTTCAGGGAAAGTAATCTATGAGATAGAATTTTGGCGGGTGTGGTGGCGCACACCTGTAATCCCAGCATTCGGGAGGCTGAGGCAGGAGGATCACTGAGAGTTCAAAGCCTGTCTGGGCTACATAGTGAGTTTAGGGACAGCCTGAACTACATAGCAAGAACCTGTCTCAAAAAACAAAAAAACAAAACAAACAAAAAAGAATTTTATTCTATATCTGCAAAAATACATAGATGAAAATACCAGATTAGCTAAAACAATTTCAAAATCCTGATTATGTGTTGGGAATTTAGGTTACAGATGAGGTCGCTGATGTTGGAGCAGTCCAGGTTCCTTGCAGAGACATGAGGAATTAGTGATAGTACCGCAGTAGGTCCCAATGTCTAGTGAGAAAGGCATTAGTCTTTGAAGTCAGGCAAGATCCAGTGTAATTCTGACTCTGCCACTTACTAGTTTTGTGCTATGAGGCAAGTTATGTGCGTGGTCCCAATCACAGTCATCCAGCTCCTATTTCTTCCCTCACTACTATGGGAGGTGTGTTTGAATGCAGCAGTTAAGGAGATACAATAGATAGTTGAGGCAGGGTTCCTAACTTGCAAAGGACCGAGTAGGCCTTTACCAGGGAGAGACGACGCTGGATTAGAGGAGGCTTTCTAACGCGAGACAATGTTTTCAGGACATATGTATGCAGGGGCTGGCAGTCCGAAGTACAACCGAAGTACAACATACAGTTCCTGCGGCTCTAAGGTTGTGTTTGATAAATAAGAACAGCACCTAATTTCTCGCTCAGGAGTAGGAGTCAGACCTGGGCTGTGAACCCTGAGTGATAACAAGGTCTTATTCTAGAGAGAAGGGGTGTCCAACAATCACTATTATAGAAGGCAAACACACTCTTGTGTACACAACAAAAACTTAACACCTCGCGTGGGCGTGGCTCCGGGCAACACCCGGAAGTTCTCTTCCGGAACCCGTCCCTGCCCCGGAAGTAGTTGTTTTTCGGGGGCCCTGTTGGCCAGTCGCGGAGAGTCCAGGGGTGCGGTAGCCATGTTCCTCTCCGCTGTCGCCCGTAAGTGGGGCTGGAGGCGGCGGCGGGGCTGCGGAGAGGGCGGCTCCCTTGACAGACCTGGGAATGGTGCGAGGCGGGTGGTCCGCAGCGGCCGGGAGGCTGCCGCCCGCGGAGCGCTTTACGGCGCGGGCGAGCGAGGGTGTTCCTCAGCGCTGCCGGACCATTCCGTGTTCATTACGGTTCGCCGGACGTTGAGGTGTGGGCGGCGTTTTCGGCCTCCGTAGGGATAAGTCAGAAGAATCATTGCACATCCCACATGGGCAGACGTCATTTTTAGGCCACCCACTTCGAACTCTGGCGCTGCGGGCCAGGCGGCTGAGAGGGGCCAGTGTGTTGCCCGAGGTGACGGCGGGGGCAGCGGAGGAGCCCTCCGCCTTGCGCCCTGGCGCTCTTCCCCGGTGCACCTGGCCGACTTCCTGCTTAGATTTAGTTTCGCTCTGCAACTCATGTGATGGTTGTTGCAGTTCGCAAAGATTGGCTTGTTAAACCAGAGGCTTGTTCCAGTGCAAATATTTGCACCTTAAACGAGGAAAAATTGAACAGATACTGCACTATAAAGATTCAAAAGCAGCCCAACTGAAGTGATTGTGCAAAAGCATTACATTAAGAAGCACTATATTAAGAATTATATTGATCTGGTTTGGACCTTTTATCTTCTTTTTTACAACATGTTAGAATAGAGAAGAGTTCTATGTAGGGAATATCCCTGTAACCCCGCGCTGCATTCTGGGGCTTGAACCAGGGCCTCCTTCCTGCTAGGCATGCGTTTTAGCGCTGAGCTACATCCCCAGCCTTGGGAATACAGTGTGATACGTACTTGAGTGACAGTTTACCGCAGACTTTATGAGTTAAATGATTTTGGTTAGTGACATTTATTTGAATTTTGCATAAGAATGCTACTAAATTTATATTTTTATTTTCTCTTTCAATCTTTACACAAAAAGTTGCCAAGAGCAAGTCAAAGTAAGTAAAAGTTTTTCATTTGAACTTTGCTTGTTTATGTTAGATTTGTTAGTCCAGCTGCTGTCAACATGACCTGGTCTAGTTAAGCATTTGGAGTTTATTTTGTCAAAGTTGGTTTGAGAGTTACTTGTTTGATTATTTTGTCCTTATGATTGCTTTCAAAAATACAGATGCGCTGGGTGTGGTGGAGCACACGTGTAATCCCAGCACTCAGGAGGCAGAGGCAGGAGGATCGTTGCGAGTTTGAGGCTGGCCTGGGCTACAAAGTGAGCTCAAGGCCAGCCTGAATTGCACAGCGGGACCTTGTCTCAAAAAGCCAAAAAAAACCCCCAAAAAACAGATGCTCCTCAACTTATGATGGGGTTAACACTGATAAGCCTGTCGTAAATTGGAAATATCATAAACTACAAATTATAATAAAACTAACTTAGAGAACGTCATAGCTTAGCAACACAGTACTCTCTAGGACCTATAGTGTAGGTCAGTGGTGGTGAGCTTAAGACATGTGTCCTACAGCAGGCTGTGTGTTACCATTGAAAACTGAAAGGTTCACTATTGCTGGTGTAGATTATTGGTTGCTTTTCGTTGAGATCTTACGGCTGACTGAGAACCAGTGTAGCTGTGACCTGACATCACCAGAGTATCTTACCACTTATTGCTGGCCTGGGAAGACATCAAAATTTGAAGTCCAGCCTCTACTGAATACTTTCACACCCTGATAAAACTGAAAAATCATAGACCCAAATGCTTCAGTGAGCATTTGAAAACTTTGGTTAACTGTAGGAGCTTTTGTGTCTTTTCTAGTCCGAGATTCATAAGTTGACCGTCTTGTTCCCAAACCAAGCCTGGGCCTGTGCTGTGTTTTGATTGCCACCATCTTCCTTTTTCCTCATACTGAGGGCCAGGTGTCATTTGTCAAGAGTCCACCACAGGAATCTGGCCAAAAAAGCTGTGATTTTATTACATCATAGAGCCTTTTTAAAAAATGAGTTTTGTAAGTTTACAATGTAAGCACTTCAGAAATGGCAAATGAAAGATTCCTTGATGTACCAAAGAGACTAGAATTACCAAACTGCTATTTCACAATAATTTTGTAGACAATAACAAGATTTTCTGTGTTAAAGGTAGGAAAATTCTACGAGCCTGGTGGTGCATATCTGTAATCCAGCATTTGGGTGGCTGAGGGAGGGGAATAGTGATTTAGACCAGCCTGGTCTATATAGTGAGGCTCTATCTCAGAAAAAGAAAAAGCACTTTTCTTTAATAACCCAAGACATCAAAAATACTTAAAACTAAGATTTTAAAATTAAATTTAGCCAGGTGTGGGGACACACACCTGTAATTCCAGCACTTGGGAAGTTGAGGCAGGAGGATTACTGTGAGTTTGAGGCCATCTGAGCTACATAATGAGTTCAAGGCCAGCCTGAACTAATAGCAAGGCCCAATCTCAAAAAACCACAAAAAACCCAACTCCCCCCCCAAAAAAAAATTAATGAAAAACATTTATGTTAGCATTTTTCTCCCTATATCTTTTATTTATTTATTTATTTATTCATTCACAACCTTGCACTTGCCAGGCAGGCACGGTGCCACTGAGCTATATCACCAGCTCAATATCATTTATTGATCCACTTAGGTTTTCCCATAATCCAGTTGTGTAAAAATTCCCATCCCTAGATTCTGTAGTAATCTGTAACTTTGGTTTCTGTTGAGGCACTTCCTGCTTCATGTTGCTTCTACCCATCTAGTGAGGTTTGTTGCACATATCTTGTTTACCACCTTACTTTCTATAGCTTTAGCTCCTAAAGGATACAGACACAGGCTTTGAGAGCTTTATGCTTCCCATAGTGGTTTCCGCAGGGTAAGCACTTGACAGAGATTTGTTGAATCTTTGTTGAATAAATGATTGCCATCTATCTTAATCAAATATTGTATGCCTCTGTGGAAGCACTGTATTGAACACTGAAAGTGATACGAGGATATGTAATGTCTTAAATGCTTGATATTTGTTTTAGACTCATGAGAAATATCATGGTCTGCATGGGGAGACAAAACACATGAAAAAGTAACAGTTCAGGTACTAACAAGTCCAATGAGGCAAACATGGACATGATTTGGTTGACTGTAACTTATATGCAATAGGAGTACAGGGTTTACATATTAGTGATGCAAAAATTTTAGTCTCTTAATTTTGTCCTTTTCTATTTTTTTTTTTTTTTTTTTGGTTTGGTTTTTCCAGTAGCAGGAATCGAATTCACGACCTC